GTGTGTGTGTGTGTGTGTGTGTGTGTGTGTGTGTGTGTGTGTGTATCTGTTTGGATTAAGGGTTCCACAGCTGACAGCGCAGAGGTACTGTGTCACACAGGAAGCCCTTCAGGAATGTTCCTCAGCGCAGGGATGGGTTGTTGAGCCTCATTAGCAGAGCCCCTTCTCCCCGTGACCTGTCAGCCTGCGTTAGGCACAGCCCACCGCAAAAAGGCAGATTCCTGTGGATCGTTTCCGGCTTCTAGTGTCCGTCTGTCTTAGTGTGTGACACCTGGCTAGCAGTCTGCCATGTTAGGATTTTTTTTTCCATCGGCTTTCTATGTGATTTGTCTGTAAACAATCGTTGCACTTATGCTACACATTCTCACTCCCAAGTCGTCACATATTGACGCTTAAGGTAAGGTTCCCTCTGCGTCTTATTTTGACGCATCAGGTACCCCCCTCGCGTCAGTCCTTGACGCCCGCGGCTTTTCCGGGTTGCGCCACCAGGGGTCYTTGCRTCGGGGGTCTGAGGTTAACATGAGGGATCAGGATTAATGGTTAAGTTTAGGTACTGGGATCAGGGGTAGGATGTCCATGGTGAATATTAGGTCATTTTAGGCTTCAGAACATGTTCAYGTGAATTTCGTGCATTTTYAAAAAATGGTTAATTTTAGCTACTACGGTCAGGGACAGGATATCTAAAGTGAACAAAGGTAATTTCAGGCTTTGGAACGGTCGTTTTTGCGCATTTTATACACTTTCTGAAAATATGACAACAGCTTCCGCCCCATCTCGTCAGTAACTGACGTGACGGGGGTACCCTGCGCGTCAAAATCGGACGTAGCGGGAACCTTGCCAAAGCGTCACTATGTGACGACTTGGGAGTGAGAATGGGTTGACTTATGTATGCCCTCTCTGATTTTCTTTTTTTTTTTTTTTTGGCTTTAACAAGAATTTTATACTTTCAGAAATGTCATGGATCTGTTACTGTATATGATGTTCCACTTGCACATTCACACCAATGGAAATTCTAGTTTATTTGTTGTGTAACACATGGACAAACGAAAGGGATATTTAAGATATTTTTTATTTGAATTTCTGTGGTGCAGTTACTTTCAAGAGACCATCTTCAGAGCAATATTAGTTCATTTGAGGGAGTCAAGCTAAATCAAACACATGCAACACACATTTAGAAGCAAATTTCCTCAATCTACATCATATCATCAACATCATATTTTATTTAGGCATTCAAGCAAACTGTTTTTTATAGCTTTGTGTTAGAAAACTACACTTAAAACAGTCTTTTCATGACTTTCTGTCTTGCACAGACCATGTTTCAGAATGTGCAGTCTTCAGTATATAAAAATATGTCTTGTCAAATATTAAGATTGGGCTTGGTTGGTTTGAACCCGAGATGCAGGACTGAGTGAGGGTGGCGAAAAAAAGAGTTGAAAAAAAAGTTTATTTACAAAAACAACAGTGCTGGTGTGGCAGCAAACAAGATACTTGGCTTGAAACAATAACATGAAACAAAATTCTGACAAAGACTGAGGACCAAGGATAAAAGATAAAGGGAAACTAATGAGCTAAAACAAGAAATTGGGGAAGAAATGCGAGGATTAGGTGTGAGTGGGCGGGGCCGAGCAAAAGGCAGACAGAAAACCAGATTACAGTCAAAATAAAACWTGAAACCAGACAGAACACATCAAAAGTAAAATTAAGCAAAAGTTTGCTGCAGGTAAAACACTGACTTCTCATAAGCACTCTACAAAACCCCAACAAGAAAAGACCTGTTCTTTTACACAACCACTGTTATACTTTTGTCTCAGAATTAACCAGAGGTCTATAAAGTACTTGGAAAACAATAACTAATTAAAAGTTATAATACTTTAACAGAAAATGACTTTGGTAAAAATTGATGAGAAAAATACTTAAGTAAAAAGTCATAAAGCTGTTCACAAAAATTGGGAAAGTAGAAGTAAAAGTAAAATTACTTTTCCATGTTCTCTAACAAACAAACTGTTAAATTTACAGAACCAATCTGGCTCCACAAAACCAAGTTCATTAAATTGGTCAATTTCTTTCAAATAAAATATGCTTATTGCCTCAAATTTACCCTACTAGGTTTAGTGGAAATAATTGATATGATTTAGTTGAGTAAGTTAAACACTTAGTTTTTTTAGAGCACAKAAACAACTCATTTCATGATGAGTTCAAACAGATTTAATTTATAACAAGTAACTAGGTGTTAAACGTTAAAGAAGTAAAAGTTTTGTTTTTAGGTTTTAAAAATAACTGAGTAAAAGTAAAAGTTGCGATTTAAAAAATACTTGGTAAAATTACAAATCCTCAAAAAATTACTCAAGGGCTGTAACAAAGTAAATGTACTTAGTTACTATAAACCTCTGGAATTAACTGAAGTCAGTTTGTGATTTAACTTGAACAAAATACATGACTGAACAACATACTAAATTTAAGACTCTGTTTTCTAGGTGACGACAGCGATGACTTTGCTCTCTATCCGGCCAACATCTTAGATGATGTTTGTGACTCTACCGGCGACCCCTCGCTTTCTTCAACCCTGGCAGAGGACCCGCTGTCTGATGATGAGTTGTCACCTCAGTCAATCCAGCAACCAAACATGTTTATAGCCCAAACTGACCTGGCCATCCCTCTGGACTTTGAACTGAGAGAGTCAGCAGTTCCAGGTGCTGGCCTGGGCATCTGGAGTCGCAGGAAGGTGAATATCGGAGAGCGCTTTGGACCTTTTGAAGGAGAGCATAGGCCTTGCCTTCAAGATCCCGCTCAAGGCTGGGAGGTAGGAATCTACATTTTGTCAGTGTGGAAATGTATTTGGTAGTTTTGGTTGAAATAAATCAGAGTTTTGAAAGGCAAACATGTCTGTTTGACAGATGTGGTTGTTCCTATGTCACTCAATAAAAAAATGTTTTTAGGCATATCCTTGAATGCTTTGTGGAGTTCCAGATGCATCCTTATGTGTGTTATTTAATGTCAAGACAAGAAAATTGCAATAACACAGTTTTGGTAGATTTTATGGAAAACAGGTGAAAGGAATTTGTTCTTGTAACAGAATATCTTGAACTTTAGTGCTAGCATAAACATGGAAATTGCAGTCAGGTTTCTTATATTGTGGGTGTAGAGTATTTTAACAAGGGGTTTTCTTTACACTGTATACACTGCATATTTTACCTCAGTTTTCTTTTTTATTTCCTCCCATGTTGTCATATCCACATTTAGCCTAGTGGCCACGAGGCTGTTGTAGTCCTTTGTTGCCCAGTGATGTAATGTTAGCTCAGTGCATCAGAAAGAAACTGAGTTGACGTTGTGCTCTTAGCTCAATTAAAATAAAAAGCCATAAATCTTTTTTTCATCCCCAGCTATAGGGACCCAGTGAGACTATTGGTGAATGCCATATTGGTCAGCAGACACACAAAAAGAAAATAAATAAATAAAAAAAATCGAAGGCATGGGTCACAGGACAAGGCCAAAGGTTAGATGTGGGTGCTGTCAGTGTCAAGCTTTCTTGGTTTTATGGAGCAGGGTGAAGTGGGCTGGCAGGGTATCAGCCTCATTTAGTTTCTCTGAATAGATCCTCCCTAATTTAAACGTGAGGGTTTAGTCCTTCACATTCAGCGCTTTGTCCTTTTGTTGGACAGAGCCAAGCTTATTAAAAATGGCTAACTGTGCAGTTTATAAAGGGACGAACTGCACGTTCAAATAAAAAAGATGATTCAGTCTTTTATTCCTGATTTTTAAATGCAAACAGTTATTTTTCCTCAATTAAAATCTAACCAAATGTCTTTTTTGCATCCTCTGTGCTACATCTCTACACTTATAATCTGYTATCTGCTGTTAAATGAGACACAAAACACAACTGTCAAATAAAAGTCAGCACAAATTCTTAATTTATTTTACTTAGCTCTGCATTTTAATTAAAAAAGGAAGTGCTCATCTTTACAAAAAAGAGTTACAGCTGGTTGAACAGGTTGTCTGGGTTATCATTTTACTAATTAGCCTTTTTTCTAAGGGAATGAAATAAAGGATAAAAGAGTTTCATGAATTTTAATCGAGTTGTAATTTATTTGGATCATGAAAATAATATGTATTTAAAGGTCTGGGGGGCTTGGTTGTAAGTGTGTGTGTGTGCGGATGTGAGTGTGTGTGTGCGCGTGCGGTGGTGGTGGGGGGTAAAGATAGGATCCTGATGAGGCAGCACTGTATCACATTGTTTAATTACCACTCTGACAGCGAGCTATAACTCTTTCCATTAAGTAAATAAGTTGTAAAGAATTTATGACGAAATGCCACATTATTCAGAATGGATATTCAGTGATGACATCCCTCTGCATTAAATATGGTAAATGCCATTAAGTCCCACAGAGAGCCCCACCCCCCTTCTTTTCCCCCATGCCCAYTCGTTCGCCATCCCTCCTTCCAACCTCCCGCCTGCAAAGCGTCAATATGCCAATAACCCTATACAGGGTCTGTAAAAAATAAACTTGATTTGGTTAATGTGAGTGGAGACAGATATGCTTGCTTTCGCCGTCAGTTTTGTGCAGCACAGCAAGGTGATGTCACCGACCTGGGAGCGATAAAGTGGCACACCCACCTGGAGCTTTTGATAGAGGGGCCTTGAATGGACCCAAGCCCATCTAGTGATAGACTGGTGGGGTGGATGGGGYGGGGAGTTTGTCACTGTGAGGGCCACCACTCCCCAGCGCCATCACCATAAATTTGGGAGCTTTATTCATAAAGGGGGAAAGAATGAGTTACGGCATCCAGGATGCTTTATGAATACAGGAATGGTGACTTATGGGAAAGATAGCTTCTGTAAATAAGAAGTGTAGAGGCAGCTGTGAGGTTCYGTCAGACTCTGTCGTTGTGTGTAGAACTGAGGTGTTGTGCAAGCCATAGATTGTAATGTGGTTTCTGTGTGTTTTTGAACATGTTATTATAAACACAACATATAACCTACTCATATTTATAGGAGTGTTTTAATGCAATGCTTAAGATTTTAATTCCACATGCTGTAAAAATACAATTTAGGCACCTTGACAGGTATAATTTAAACAAGTTAGATAAAGCAATTAGAAAAACTGTTTGCATCAGCCATCCATCTGTTATTCATCCATCCATCCATCCATCCATCCATCCATCCATCCATCCATCCATCCATCCATCCATCCATCCATCCATCCATCTATCTTCTTCACCTGCTTAGAGGATGCTCTAGCAGTGACTGTGTGAGATTAAATAAACATCAGACCTCAGATCTGCTAAATATTTGAGGTGAATAAGGATGAAGAAATGTGACATCCCAAGAGTTTAATACAACACAATCACATTAAAAAAAACAGCTGTCAGCTTTTATGTACAAACCTCTAGAGATATGGTTTTATTACTTACTGAAATAGCTTTGCAAATATAAATATCATTTATCTAATATATACTGTAAGTTTTTTTTGTGGTGTTATACAGTATTAGCTGTTTTTTAGACTTTATTGTAAACTTTGTACAAAAGTGATCTGTCTCCCAGAAAATCTTTTTTTATTTTTTTAATTATTGAACCATCTTAAAAAACAACAGTTTTCTTATATATTGTCATTTAGACAAATGTGTCTTAGAATAGAAATGTGTTGACAATAGCATGCAGGAGCTTCTTGTATTCAATGCTCAAGTCCATATTCTGAAGTTTCTCCAATTCTGAGTTATTGAGAAACATTGAAATTCAAACTCCATTTGTGTTCTCTCCTTCTCGGTATGGCAGCAACAATGGGTCAGACAGGCTGAGTCCAGGAGAGAGTTATCCGGCACTCAATGAGCATTTGGGCTCACCCAAACTTGCAGCCCCTCGGGATGGGCTTAACGAACCGGGTGCCTCCTTCTGTAAGGAGGCGATGGGTGGAGAAGGTTAGAGATGTGAGAAGGGGTGGCGCGTTGAAACAGGGATTGCTTAGAAGGTCTTTGTGCACCTCTTGAGCGAGAAGCGGAGGTGGAGGCGATAGTGGTGGTGGTGGGGAGACGAAGGAGGAGATTAGTAGTGATGGTGAATGGGAGTAGAGGATTAGATGGCTGGGCAGGGACTTTTCCAGCTCTGGCTGTCTTCTCAACCTCCTGGTCTTGAGGGGATGGGTGGATGGAAGGAGGAGTGGCAGATGCTTGAGCAGAGGCAGACCTGTCTTTGCCATTTCTGCCAACTGAAATTTTGGAGGTTTACAAAGCACTTTCGCAGCAACAATTTCAGGTGGTCTGCAGTATTTTAATGCTGTTTGGTAGAAACCTTTGGAGCAGTGATTCTCCAGAATCAAAGCTTTGCATGTTGAGCAGAACAAAGTGCGAGTGTATAAGAAGGGCGTTTCGAGTGGGCGTGTTTTTGTGCGCGGATAAGCCGCTGTCCTGAATGAATGCAGATGTCTCTGGCTGGCTTTCTGCCTGTCCCCTGTACGCTGATGGCCCGTCACCTCTCTCTGTCACACGAAGAAAAAGCCACTCTCAGTCTGGACTAAAAGCCCCTCTAATCCTCAGGCCCCTGCCACCTCTCCACATTTACTGTCAGCACAGATACCCCTGCCCAAAGCGGCGCTTAGAAAGACAGGCACTTGGGGATGAACCTCTCTGTCACTCACACGTTTTCTCAATGGAYGCACAACCTCACGTTTTCACATGCACTTTTTTTCAGAAATTCAAATTGGAAAAGTCTTGAATCTGCAAAGACCTCGTGAATGCCTGATGTCAAAGCGCTGTGCTTACAGGAACGTTGAACTCATGAGAACAGCACAAACTGGCTGCTGAAAAAACTGTTGGCATTAATGAATGAGCAGTTCATAATAAACGTTTCCACTGGTGCTCAACGAATCGTAACATAGACAATGAACTTTGATTACTTTGAGAGTTGTCATGTGCAGGAAACAGAACTGGCTGTGAAACGTCAAATGCTGTAATGTTATGTTGTTATATGAGTTTGCAAGAAATTTTGCCTCATAGTTTACGTGACAGTGTTTAAGGCCAGWACTGGGAGAAGTTTTTGCTATAGAAAGCACAAATGTGCTATGTCTCTATATTCCCTTCTCGACCTCAACCAAATGTTTGGTGCCTAATAACTTTTTTATTTATTTATTTATTTTATTTTTTACGTATTTTACATATTTTTTTACAGCTGGTATTCCTCAACTTCTGTTGTGACACTGGATGTAAAATGATTTGGCTTGATGTAATAACTGTAGGTAAACAGGTGTGTTAGTAAAATAACTCAGTTATCAACAGTTTATCTTTCTAGTTCCATCCATCCATCCATCCATCCATCCATCCATCCATCCATCCATCCATCCATCCATCTTCAGTCATTTATCTAAAATTGTGTCTTTGAAGCCCAGACCTTCCTCTCATCATTGATCCTCTCTAGCTCATTTGGAGGAATCCTCTGATAATCCCAAACCAGAGAGATTATATGAACACTTCAAGGAATTATGGGTCTTTCTCCGGGTTAGCTCCCAGAAGGAAGTAGCTAAAACCCCTTCYAGGGTGTGTGTCCTGGAGATATCTCGGTCAGATGCCAATTCCTTTCAACAGAAAAGAGAAGCRGCTCTACTTTTAGCTTCTCCCAAATGATGAAACTCCTATCTCTGAATCAGAACTTAGCACCCTATGAAGGAAGCTTATTTTAGCTTCTTGCAAAATATCTTGTTCTTTTGGTTAAAACTTGTGTTACCATTGGTAAAGATTAGAATGTGGATGGATCAATAAATGAAGCTACTTTTATGTATGTATTATTGCCTTCATTACTGCAGACAAAGCCTT